CATTGCACGCCCCTTGCACACCCACAGCCCCCCCGCTCCCTGCGCACCCCTTGCAAACCCCACAAACCCCTTTGGTCCCACCGCATGCCCCTTGCACACCCAACCCCCTGCACACCCAACCCCCTGCACAACACACCTTGACGTTGTGCATGTTGATGAGGCTGCCGCAGTCGTCCAGGTACTGCTTCAGATCCCGGTCCTGAGACCCCCAAAAAAGGCAAAAAAAAAAAGGGATTTTGGGGGTGGCGTTTTTGGAAGGGGGGATTTTTGGGGTGATTTGGGGGCGTTTTGGGGTCTCGCTGAGGAGATTTGGGGGTTCTAAGTTGGGAATTTGGGGCATCCGTGGAGGATTTTGGGGGTCAAATGCGGGGATTGTGGGGTTGCATGGAAGATTTTTGGGGTCACTTGGTCAGATTTTGGGGTCCCAGAGGGGATTTTTGAGGTGAAATTTGGGGATCTGGGGGTTCCAAATCGGGAATTTAGGGGTTGGATGAGGGACTTTTGGGGTCAAATGTGGGGATTGTGGGGTTCTGTGGGGGATTTTTGGGTTCTGTGGGGATTTTGGTGGTTCCATGGGGATTTTTGGGGTCACTTTTGGAGATTTCAGGGTTCTGTGGGGATTTCTGGGGTCACCCTTGGAGATTTTGGGGTGCCTGAGGGGATTTCTGGGGTGAAATCTGGGGATTTTGGGGTTCCAAATTGGGAATTTAGGGCTTCTATGGGGGAATTTGGGGTCAAATGTGGGGATTTTGGAGCTCCTTAAGGACACTGTTCACGATTTTGGGGTTCCAAAGTTGGATTTTTTGGGTCATTTTTCAAGATTTTGGAGCTCCAGATCTCAAATTTTGAGTTTCCTGAGGGATTTTTGGGGTCACTTTCCAAGATTTTGGGGTTCCAGATGCGCATTTGGGTTCCGTGTAGAAGTTTTTGGGACACTTCTGGAGATTTTGGGGTCCCTGGGGGTGAAATTTGGGGATTTGGGGGTTCCAAATTGGGCATTCAGGGGCTGGATGAGGGATTTTGGGGTCAAATGTGGGGATTTTTGGGGTCCAATGTGGGGATTTGGGGGTCAAATGTGGGGATTTTGGGGTTCTGTGGGGTTTTTTGGGGTCAAATGTAAGGATTCTGGCGTTCTACGGAGGATTTTTGGGGTCACCCTTCATGATTTTGGGGTTCCAAGGTTGGAATTTTGGGGTTCCATGGGGGATTTTTTGAGGTCACTTTTGCAGATTTTTGGGGTTCCAGAGTTCAATTTTTGGGATTCCAGAGGGGAATTTGGGGGCATTTTGGGGTTTTTGGGGGCTCACCAGGTACTCGAAGACGAGCGTGAGGCAGCTCTGCGTGTGAATGATGTCGTGCAATGTCACGACGTTGGCGTGCTTCAGGTCCTTCAGCAGCGACACTGCGGGGAAAACAGTCATGAAAACCCTCGTGAAAAGAGCCCTCGTGGGACCCCCCTCGTGAGAACCCTGGTGAAAACCCCCTTGAAAAGCCCACAAAGCCCTCAGAACGGTGCGAGACCCCGAACCCTCGTGCAAACGCTCAAAGTGTCCCAAGGGCCCCTCAAAATGGCGCCACGGACCCCCAAATCCTCGTGCAAACCTCCAAAGCCCCCTGAAAAGCCTCCAAAAAGCCCCCAGAATGCTGGATTGACCCCAAAACCCTCGTGTAAATCCCCAAAGCCCCTTGGAAAGCGCCTCAAAAGTCCCCACAAATGGTGCAAAAGACCGCAAGGCCTCGTGCAAAACCCTGAAGCCCCTTGAAGTGCTGCTAAAGAGCCCCTCAAAATGGTGCAGGAGACCCCAAAATCTGGTGCAAACACCCAAACCCCCGTGCAAAGTCCCTCAGGAGCCCCTCAGAATGGTGCAAGAGCCCCAAAACCCTCGTGCAAAACCCCAAATCCCCTTGCAATGCCCCCAAGGAAACCCTCCAAACACTGCAAGAGGCTCCAAGCCCTGGTGCAGAACCCCAAAGCCCCCCGCAAGTCCTCCAAAGAGCCCCTCAAAACGGCACCAGGGCCCCCAAACCCTCGTGCAAAGTCCCCCCGTCCTCATGAAGCCTCCTCAACCCCTCGTGCAAAACCCCAAATCCCATTGCAACGCCCCTCAAGAGCCCCCAAAATTGTACGAGAGACCCCCGAGCTGTGGTGCAAACGCCCCAACCCCCCATGCAAAGTCCCTCCGGAGCCCCCAAAGCGGTGCGGGAGCCCCCAGGCCCGGTGCAAGGCGCCCACCCTCGCGGATGGCCGTGCAAGGCGCCCCCTCCTCGTGCTCCAGGCGAATCTCCTTGAGGGCCACCAGGTTCTCGGTCAGCTTGGAGCGGCCCTTGTACACGGTGGCGTAGGTGCCCTGCAGGGGACAACAGCGGGAACAGGGCTCAGCAGGGGGCCGTGGTGACACCGCGAGGGGGGCGAAAGGGACAAAAAGGGACACTGAGGGGACGCTGATGGGACACGGGGCCGAGCGAGCTCACAGCGGTGACACGAGGGTGACACAAAGAGCCGGCAGTGACCCGGGGGGGGGACAACGGGGACACAAGCGTGACTGGCCCAATAGTGAGCCAACAGTGAACCAATAGTGATACAAGTGTGACTTGCCCAATAGTGAGCCAATAGTGACACAAGTGTGACTTTCCCAACAGTGACACAATGGGGACACAAATGTGACACAAGTGTGACCCAAAGACCCAGCAGTGACACAGTGGGGACACAATGGGGACACAAGTGTGACTGGCCCAATAGTGAGCCCATCGTGAGCCAA